TTTCTTTTTTTTTTTTTTTTTGCAGAATTGCACAATTTTTGCCACATTTTGAAAGTCAAATCGCATGTTATGCCGCCTATGGATATTTTGTGTTTACTGGGTTCTCGGTAATTGTCTACGTGATGGAGATGACCGATGTTTGTTTGACGTTGAAACATGACACTGAAAACGTATTCTTTGCTCGACTAGCTAAATCTTTAGTTCTTGCTGGTGAGGAGGTATGTATTAATGTTTTCTTTCTTTCTTGCTTCCTAGAAAACTTTTTCACCAAGATTGTTCACAAAAATTTTAGCAGATGAATACAGCTGATGATATTGTCTTTTTTTTGGCTTACAAAATAAGCAGTTATAAATTAATCGGCAACACCTGCGACTAAAGACTATTCAATGGTGTTGTTGTCTGAAATCAAAACTTTGCAGTCATCTGTTCTCCAATAAGCCGGTTGCCATCTTTTTCAGTTGGCTAGAAATAAATTACTAAAGAATTTATTATTTATACATCAGCAAATCAACAATTTCAAGCAGTTTAAGAGGCTTTTTTAAAACCAGAAATAAATTTTATTGCATTATTTATTCCCTTCAATTTGGTATCAGCAGAAAACTAAGTTTTTATTTTTTTTTCTGTTCTTATTGTTACTTTACTTTCAGTATTTTGTGTGCAAAATCTTATAGAAATTCAAATTTGTACGAAAAAACAAGTCTATTTTGAGGTGCCACTACCCGGTTTACTGTATGTTTTATATACCAGCGAACCACGGTTGTCGTTGGCAAATCCAGTCTATATTGCTTCCTGGATTAAACTGGTAGCTCTAACCTGGGGTATTGTTAAGTTTACAAAACTACGATTTTTCTGGTTTTGCCTTCCGTTGAATCCGAAACACGATACGCGGTTAGTGGCTGTATTTCTTCTTTTATTATTTATTCTTTTTGTTCGAAGTGATACGTTTTATCCTTAATTCACTGATTCCCACTAAATGAAGCGTAATCTCTGGAAAGTAAGTTTTCTTGCCTGCAACAACCGTACTGTATACAGCTTTAATTCTATTTGAGATAATTTTTTGTATTTTTAATAGTTTTTTGATAGTCTAACTTCTATATGATCGTCATCTCTCTAGCTGTTGATCAAAGATCTAAAATTAGCTGCACTGATTCATTTTATAACATCTAGAAATTTAAGTGGAAAAAAATTGAAATAGATATGCTGATTTAATAGCGTAGTCTCCTATTAAATCTATTTTCATCCCTAAAATTGATGCTTCTTGTTAGTCATAATGAATATTTAAAACTTTTATGAAATAACTGGCTAGTTTTAATGCACACTTAAGGAATCCCGTTATTTCAGATAAGCAGTTACGAAACTGTACAACGAAAAACTTTTGCAACTTTAAAATAAAAATTCAACTTATCGTAGTGTTGTTACTGAACAAGAAATCTCGTCACTTTTATAAGCTTCAATAATTTTTTCGTCACCCATTAGTTTGGCTTTTTTTTTTACAAGAAAAGATTTTTTTTACTCTAATTTTTATGCCATTTTCTGCTTTCTTTTTTCTTTCTAACCTCTGTATTATAACTCCAATTTTACAAACAACTATTGTTGCTAAATATGTAAACTTTAAAGCAAAAAAGAAAAAAAAAGAAATTCTGAAAAACAAAAATAATGAAAGCAATGAATTGTTACTAGAAAATATAAGTTTTTTTAAATATTAACACCTATTCTGCCTCTTCATATGTCTTTATTTTAAGAGAAAATATTCGACGATGTTTTACGTTTACAATTTATCGGATTACAATGCTTTTTGTCAACATCTGCCACTTTATAGCGATCACCATTGTCATTTTAAACATTCTTGAAGCCGGCAAAAATAGGTCACAGGTTTCGAAAACCTGGTAAGTCGCCAACTGTTTCCTCAAATTGAATAATATTCAGAAAGCAAAACAGTTAATAAAAAAAATTCTTTGAACTTTTATTGTCTACAAATTTGCAACAATTATAAGTTGTT